CATTATGGTGATCTTGTTGCCCTTAAACAATTAGGCAAAAGTGGGGCAGGGATGGGAGGACAGAAGAGATGGCTCAGCAGGTAAAATTGTAACTCTAGAGGAAGACCTGGGTTGGTTCCCAGCACCCATATAGGTAGACTACAATTAGCTGTGTCTCCAGCTCCAGGGAATCTGATGCCCTCTTCTGGCCTCTCAGGACACCTGCATGCATGTGCACATACTGCCACATAAACATACACATAATTAAAAATCTTAAAAAGTAATTAGGCAAAATGCATTTCATAATCCTTAAAACATACACTTATAACCCCAATATATAATGCCCAGCACTTATTTGTAATTTGTTACGAAGAGTTCAAAATACAGATAAAGTTGTTGTTGGATTTTTTGGGTTTTTGTTTTGTTTTTTCAATAATCCGCAGTCTAAAACAAACAAACCTAGAGGCTGGAGAAATAGCTCAGCAGTTAAGAACAGAGTTGTTACTCTTGCAAAGTAACCCAGGTTCAGTTCCTGGTACCCATATGGTGCCTTACAATCGTTTGTAACTCCAGTTGCAGGGGATCAGACTGCTTCTGACCTCTGAGGACACCAAGAAAACATAATTTTTTTAAAGTGCAGATTGTATCATGACCTAGCATATGGATACTTGTTTTCTTTTCTCTATAAAATTTTCTTGCATCATTATCAAACCTATTTAAAGTTTAAAAAATTTAGATTACTGTTCAAATTCTTTAATATGATTATTCTTCTTTTTTAATTCAACTAAAAGGTGTTTTGTTTGTGTGTTTTTTGTTTTTTGGGGTTTTTTTTTTTTTTTGTCTTTTTTTCTTTTGAGATGGTGTCTGATTATGTAGTCTTGGCTGGACTGGAACAAACAGATTTACCTGCCTCTGCCTCCCAAGTGCTGGGATTAAATGCATACACTACCATGCCTGACTACTAACTACTACTACTTCTTCCTTTTCCTCTTCTTTCTCCTCTTCCTTCTCCTCCTCTTCTTTTTAATGTCTCTAATAAAACATCTCATCGTATTTGCTGGTAGGTTACTTAGTTGGCCATTTGGCTGGTTTTTATCTGATATTCTTAAAAGCAGGATCTCTAACATTTTTATCTCTGGTGCCAGCATAAGTTAGACCTTAAATATTTGTTCAATTTTTAAGATCATGTCTTTCTACTTGGAAAGGCCAAACAAAAGACAGCCTTCTTTAAGACATTGTAGGCAAATACATAGCAGAAATTGAAATTGGAATATCTCCTAAAATAAATGTTCTAACTTTTATGTGACCATATGTAGGAGCTAAATTTAAGCACAGCATTGCTAGTTAAGTGTTGTTTTATTATTTTTCCCTTCTGAGTTTTCTTGTAACTTTTAGATATTTTAAATCTGATTTTTAGAGAGAATACCATCCATGTTGCCAGATCATTTTTTTCAAACATAGCTTAATTCTTAAAAACCATTTCATGACAAGGAATGTTTGTTCTTTATGATGGCACATGCCCTTAATCCCAGCACTTGGGAGGTAGATACAGGTGATCTCTGTTAGTTCAAGGCCAGCCTGGTCTACAGAGCCAGTTTCAAGATAGTCAGAGCTACTCAAAGAAACCCTGTCTCAAAAAACAAAACAACAACAGCAGGAAAACTGCATTAATATTCATTATCAGAAGAGAGGTATTATGAATGGAGAAATTAGTATTTCAAAGGTTACTATTTAAAGAAATGTTTCATAGAAAGACAAAGAGAGCAGATGGCTCAGATGTTAAGCCCTAGGCTGGTAGCTTGTGTCCATCCACAAGGGTGTCTGATGTGTGAGTATTGTGTGTATTGATGCGCTAGCTGAGGGACCTCAGGACTTTGGATTGCCCTAGAAACCTGTACTGTCCATTCACCATCTCTGCCAACATTCTCCATCTCTGCACTCACCTTCCATGACTGCCTACCTTTTCTATGCCCTTCTTCCTGGCAAAAGCCCTTTTCCCAGAGTCTTTATGCTACTGCACACCATTCCTCACCTCAGGCTTTTGTGAGTAGTTGACCAGAGTGAGTGTTCATTTTAAATCTCAGTGCAATTCAGGTCTTTATGGATGAAAGTATCCTATTTCTTCACTGGCCAAATGCTGTAATGTTCATTTTATAGCTGTGGAAAGCCAAGGTCTTAGGTGGTGGGTAAAGCCTTCTTAACAAAGCTTTTTGTCCTAGAGAACGAAACAGTTACTCCTTTCAGTATTGTTTATGTGATCAATGAGGACTGTGGTGTAGTTTTGTTTTCATTTCGTACTTCTTTGGTTCTCAAAGAAAGGAACAAGTGCTTTCTTTGCCATGAATTTCTGAGAATCTTAAATCCATTAACGTATTCATATGTTATGACAATGCAAAATCTGTTATTGATTATTTTATAAACAGAACTTGACATAAAGGTAATCTGATCAAATCAGTGTCTTACTAAACAAATCATATTTTAAATACTTGACAAAAGCTACTTATTAATGGCTTGTGATGTTTTCAAAGCCAGTCATATTTACAAGTCATCATTTAAAATGGATTCCAGAAGTGAGTCTTTTCTTAGACTCTGTAGCTCATGAGTTCAGGGTTTTTCTCCTCCTTGAATGTATGCTTTCATTATTTCAGGGGTTTGTTGAAGTCTGAGAGTATAGTGGCAATGCCTCACTAAGTAATTACTATATTTTATCATTTTCTGAGACTAATTGAGTTACAGTGTGATAGTCAATTACTATTAACATTCCCTTGTTTTCTGTTAGCTTCCATCCTTTGATAATAGTAGTGATTTGCATTTTCCAGGTAGTCCCTTCTGAGGTACATTATTTACTATTACAAGATGAAGTTAGTCAGCTGGGTAATAGGTCTGTCTGACTTTGTTATGTGTCCTCCTTACCACTTGGTTTTAAACTGCCTCTGAGCCCCGTGAATAGAATTTGGAGATGTTGGGGTGGAGATTTTTATCTAATTGCACATTTAAAGTCATAGTGCTATTTCTCCTGACTGAGTCACCATGAGAATTTGGTAGCCCTGTTACTCTTGATTTTTTTTTTTTTCTGAAACATTCATTTCAGAACTGGGTTAATATATCGATTTTATATATATGTAATTACTATTTAACCTTTTTCTAAAGAATTTTGCTGACATTTTTAATGCAGTGTTCACAAAGTGAGTTCTTATTGATTAGAATCATTGATATTTGAAATCACCAGAAAGAGGAAAATACAATGAAAATATAAAGTATTTCTGATGCTTCCCAACAGAGAAATAGATTAACAATAACTTTACTATTTTCCTCTCTAATATTATCTGTAAAGAAATTAGTTTCCCAATTATGAAGTTATATATATATATATATACAATTTAAAGAACATAGACTTTCTATTTTGAAGATCTTTGGTATGGAAATACAATACCTCACTCCAATTTAATAAACATGTATTTGTGTTTACAGCACAGTAGACAAGCAGCTGTTACACAGTGCCATTCCTGTGTGCAGCTGGAGCTTAGACTAGCAGAAGCCTCACAGTGAGGAGACAAAAAGATAAGGAAATGGACCTATGAGAAGCTAAAGGATTTGACATTGTTATTTTACTTTAGATGCATTCCTTTTTAGCTATACTGAAATATACATGCAGTACCTAACAGTGCCAACCATAAGTGAACAGTATCAAGTTTCATGTGGTTGCATAATTGTTTCTGTTACATTTAACCATAATGTTAGAAATATTGGTTTTGTTTTTAATACTGTTTGAAATACAAGCCAGAATTAACCCCTATTAGCTCAGAAAACAAACATTCCAGCTATGGCTCCCCACCCCCCCATATTACTGATTATATAACTAGGAATTTGCCTTCTGTTTAGTAGATATTAAATGAAGTCAGCGCAACATAAAATGTGTTAGTCACTTAATGTTGCACACTGAAAGATTATTTTTAAAAGATACTTGGGATTGGGGACATTTATGGTAAAAATTTTAACCAGAAGATGGCAGTGATGAGCCTCCTATACTTCCTACTACGGTAATCAAAAAGTTTCCCAAATGTCATAGCATGAAATGTGCACGTTTAACTACTGTTACATGGTGTTGAAACATTGGAGAAAACAGTATATAAAACATTGTTTTATATACTATGAAGAATGTATGTTTTCTCTAAGAAGGGATTAAGAATATTTTGGGTGTCTGTATCTTTGTCTGTACGTTCAGTTTTTTCTGAGTACTGGGGTAAGAAGTTACCATACATGTTGCTGTGTATAATTTGCATGTATTGCTTTATGTTATGCATCATGTTTAGAAGGCATGCTGTTTTTATGGCCTGTTTGCATTTTCCATCCAAATTGCTGGAAATTAATGAACATTTTAAAGGAGCCATTCCTTTAGCTGTATCATTTCTGTGAGTTGCTTCTTTTCAGTGGAGAGAAAGGGATTAATTTAAATACTAATTTTTTGAGGCACTGGGGATCAAATCTAGGACCTTGTGCATGCTGGGCAGACACTAAGCTATGTCCCCAGCCCTAAAATTGTTTAAAAGAAAAAATTATTAGACCAAGTTTAACATTTTAAAACAAATCTTGGAAAACCAGGGGTTAAATTACTTGAAGCATATTTCAAAGTTTTAATATTAGCAGGGTAGCTCAATTAACACATAAAATAAGATGGTGACATTAAAAAAGTAAGAAGGAATGTTATCCTTTGAAATTAGTGGCCGTCTTTGGTGATGGACAAGATGAAGATACATCTTTCCATAATCTTGCCCTTTAAGCATAGAAAGCCTGAGTGCATCTTGCCAGAGAAATTGCATGAGATCTCAAGCATGGTTGTCAACTGTCTTTTCCCCTTTCTTCCTACTGTTCATTTTCACCCATATATTTCTGTTGTTTGGTTTCTTATCATTTTCCCCTTTTTGTTAATTACTGTCATGCTGAGATGTTTTTGAAAACACCATAAGCTGAGCAAGCTCTCCGTGTAGTAACAATGAATACCTGTCTGTTTCACTATTTAGTCCCTCCTCCTATGTCTCCATCCTCCAAATCTGTGAGCACACCAAGTGAAGCTGGAAGCCAAGATTCTGGAGATGGTGCCGTGGGATCTAGGTATGTAATTCTTTTTAAATATTTTAATGATATAACAGAATGTATTCAGTGCCAAATGCTGTCAGTGCTTTAGAAGGAGTCTAAATATTTATGTTGACTTATTACTTACTTCTTAAAATTTAAACAGCATAGAAATTCTCTTGTAAATTGGGCTAAATTTTTGTACCAGTATTTTAGCTGTCACATGTCAGTAGTAAATAGTTAAGTGGTTTTTATGATAATTTATATTAAAACAGAGGTTTTCATGAATTTAAAATCATTCTGCTTAAACAAATGTACTGGTTTTGTGTGACTGTTTTGACTACAAATAGTATAGAATATCTTTGTTATGCTCAATTCTCCACTTGCTAATTGAACATTGAAACAATTCAATTAAATAGCCCAATTCTGTTCTATTAAGTAGCTGATTCTGCTAAATAAGATAAAAATAACCATAACATAAAATACTAGAGCTGGGTAGTTAAGAGTACTTGCTGATCTTGCAAAGGACTTGGTTTAGTTCCTAGCACCCACATCTGCCAGCCCACAATCACCTGTAACTATAGTTCCAGGGCATCCAACTTCTGACTTTTGCAGGCACTGCACATAAGACAAGCAAGGTACACACACATGCACATAAATAAAATAAAATTGTAAAATAATGCATGAAGAATCAGTGTTAAAGAATTACTGCCAAGGAAACACTGATTTACTTACAGGTTTTATTGAGCTTATGTCTGCCTCATAAAACTGTATTTCATGTTTGTTTTCGGATTCTGCACACATTTTGAAACTTGTTTTTTAGAAATTCAGTAATATTCATGTACATAGCAGTTGGCGTGTTTTTATTTACCAGCATCCCTTTATTACAGCTGAAACAAGAGTAAACACAACAGGTCAAAATCTACAGTTGATTCAGAATCCTTATTTGGGACCAAGGTTAAATATCCTCTCTAGGAAAACATCTTAGCATTCTTTTAAAGGCCAGGTTATAGCTCAGTGATAAGGACTTATGTAGCATGTGAAAAGCCCTAGCTATCGATCCTCAGCACTACAAGAAAAAGGTTATTAATACTTACCATCCTTTTTTTTTTTCTTGTGCATGTGTCCCTCTGATTAAAGATAAAAATAGACAATTAACTCTGAGAGAGAGAAAACAAATAAGCAAAAGCTCCACAACACACCCTGCAAATAAAAGGGGCCGGTGGTCCAAAAAGTCAACACTATATTCAGTTCTGAAATAATCAGGTTATCATTAACAATTAAAAGATACAGAAATGGTCTGGGGAGATGACTCAGCAGTTAAGAGCACATACTGTTCTTGCAGAGGACCTAGATTTGTTCCCAGCACCCATGTTGTGACACACAGCCATCTCTAATTACAGTTCTAGAGAATCTGATGCCCTCTTCTGATCTCTGCTGGTATCAGGCATACATGTACTGCATAGATATGCATGCAGGCTAACACTCATATATGTAAAAATAAAATCAGTCTGGAACTGAGATGTGCTATCCAAAAGTGACAAATCTAGCAATACTATTGTTGCAGGTAAATGATAACTCTTATTTAAGAAAAAAAATAAAGCTTTCTTTTGACAAGTAATATTACTCTATAAAATATATGTTATGAAGGCAATTTAATATAAATTAATTTTTAGGGCTATAGCTGTTTGGTTTATGCTTCCATGCTTTTTGTTCTGTTTTTGTTTTTAAGGCATAGTCTCACAGTGTAGCCTTGGGTGGCTTGGAATTTGCTCTGGCCTGGTACTCAGAGTCTCACCTGCCTCTGCCTCCTGAGCGCTAGGATAAAAGGTGTGTGCCACCATGCCTGGCATTTCCACACTCTTCTACTTGGATATGTCAATATTCCTTTAAATATCTAATAAGCAAATGATATTTTCAAGTGAAAGGGTTTTTTCCTCTTCTTTGGGGGTAGTGGTGGTGATTTTTTTTCTTCTACAATCAACATTATAACAGTGAAAATATTTCTCAACATAACTTGCTGTATTTTCTAGATTCTTTAGTATTACATATTATTTTTATATAAATAATCTATATTTCTTGAGCTCATTGTTCCTCGTTTCAAATAGGAATAGAGGGATTATTTTAAAGCATTGTCAGTAAATTTGTTTTTAAAGGTACTATGTAATGTTTACTTAATTTTTAAAGTTAATATAAGTTTAAAAAGTGTCATCCTCTATGAATAACCTAGAAACTACTAGAGATGCTTTGGGCTATGGTTAATTGGTATGGGAGATAAGTACTGGTGAGAAAACTATTTGTGGAACAAATAGATGTTCATCAAATTGCCAGCTTTGTCTTAATTATGGTAGATTACCACACAAGATAATTTCTCTGCTTTCACAGAATGCCACTCTAGTGATTTTATCATTAAAGATGCTTTTTCAAAATGCTTAAAGGAGATTATGTATCTGTGCTTAATGTAAAGTATATTTTATGACTTACTATAAAATAAGAAAAGAAGTAACTTGATAACTTTAAAGGTGCTTGTTCTTATTAGAGAAAGAAAACAGTTTTTATGTAAGTTTAGCAGGAAAGAAAAGAACCTTTAAATCTTAATTCACTGTTCCGTGAAAGCACCAACTCACCTGGAAATAACTTTCGAGAAGGCTGTTTGTCCATTTTACACATACAGATAGAAACCTGACTTTTGTTGATTCATCTCCAAGTTCATAATGGGAATATAATTTGTAAATGCTTAAAACAGTAGTAAAATAATGCATTTCTAGATACATGGCATTTAAATAGAGTACTCAATGTCACCATCCCCTGCGCAAATTGAGAACATGAGAAGAGGGGGGAGGGAGCTACAAGAATGAGAAGGGTAGAAAAGGAAGGATGCAGAGGTCATGAGGGAGCAGAAAGGTTGAGTCAGGTGTAGATTAGAAGAAAGGATATGTGATAAGTAGGGTTTTAGTTGGGGGTGGTGGTGGTAGGGGTGGAAGGGAGGGAGAAGGGAACTGGGATTGTCATGTAATTCAATCTTGTTTGTAATTCAAATAAAAAAAGTAAAAAAAAAATAGAGTATTCAGATCTGAAAGTGAAATGAAATGAGCTCATACTGAGCAGAACTGATAATGGAAGTGAGAACAAATGCCACAGGAAGTATATGAAGATGTGTAAGGTGAACCTGTACACTCAGCTGCATTTGTTGGCCAGCATCGTCTAAGATTAGTCCACACAAAGAACAGAAAAAGACAGAGTCGACATTATAACATAGGATACTGTTGAATAACTCTTTTTAAGTGACAAAAATTTATGTTGGTACTGCTGATAATTTACAAGTAAGTATAAAAGGATGAGCTGTTCAATTTTGCATGTTGGAAGTTGTATTTCATTGTTTACTTTCTTAATCACTTTTGTTCTAAAATTTAAGTGACAGTTATTCAGTTAGGCAAACCATGCTTATTCCTTTTTTTCTATTTTTGATCAGTTTATTTCTAAGAATTAGGACTGTATTTTATATCTCTAAAGAACCCTTTAATATATATGACCACATATTTTGAATGGTGTATGTTTTAGTTCTGGCTGTATTCCGAAATGAAGTTTTACCCAATTTTAGACTAAAATGGCATTCTCAACAAGGAGGTTTATGTTATTGGTCAGCTAGAGCCCTGGTATAATGTAGAGGCTGTTGACAGAACATTCCTTGGAGACCATCTCATCGAACTGCTTTTCGTTTAACAAAGCCTAAGTTTGTTACTGTTCATTGCTCAATACAAAGTAAGTCTTCACTGTGCCCCCTTCTCTTCATTGCATACATACAACTCTGTTTAAAATCCCAAGATCTTTCCTCATAAGAGGAAATATTTCTCTTATTTCATCTAATTGGGTTTTTTTGATAAATTATGTAGGCCAGCTGTGAAATCATTTGTTGTATTAAAAATAATAGAACTAAACCTAGTTGTGTATTCTATAACTTGTGTAAATGAGAAGCAGATATCCCATAAAATGCTAGTACTAAATGTAGAAGCTGCACTTAACCCTTGGTATGGAGCTGTGAACATTGTATTGTTAACATACAAGAATGCCAATGTGATAAAGCACCTTTTGTTCTGATAAAGACTAGATTTATCTTAGGTGGAAAAGAGCAGATGTATTTATTTACTCATTAGGCAGTGATAAAACAGCACTGACTATTTAGGATTGAGATTCTCCAGTAGTTAGGTAAATCCTTTTGGAAGGGAAAAATCTGTTTTTTTTTGTTTGTTTGTTTGTTTGTTTTTGTTTTTGTTTTTCTTCCTAGAAACAGAAATCTTTAGTTCTTTTCTAAAGCAGCGACATGTAAGCCCAAGGCAGTGCTTAACCCATGAATTACAGCAAGGTCACACTTTGGAAACGTTAGCTATTTTGTGTCCCAGTGGAATAGTCTTGGTTTTTTTACCAAAAGGCTTATGTGTTGACTCATTTCCTTTACCAGTATGGCAATTTCCTGCACACATTTAAAGCTTTGGGCAAGATTAGAATCGGTTAAATATTTTTTACCAATCTTTTTTTTATTAGGAATCTTAAAACTCCTTTTAACTCTTTCATAGTCTGTTTTGTTTACCATCCATAAATAATGTATATTGGTTTGTGTGCTTTAGCTGTTTGTGTCCCTTTTTGTGCAATACTAATTTCCCCCATTCTGAAGATACATTGAATTATTCTGGGTTATGTACTGCATCTTTAACCACCTTGATGCTTATTGTGTGCACTAGAGCATTGGAGTGATACCTAGTATAAGGGCTTTGTTTTGGTCTTACTAACCAACACACATAATTCTTAGTTGTGAATTAGCATTAGCCATTTATAGAATGCATTTGTTTGACTAACTTCTGACCTTTTTTACTAATGCTTCATGGTTGTCCTACAACCATTTAGGACGCTGCATTGGGATACAGATCCATCAGTTCTTCAGCTTCACTCAGATTCCGATTTGGGGTATTGAATAGATTTATTACCTTCTCTCTTTAATAATTCATTTGCTTCTTTGTGAAACTGTCCTAATTTTACCTTACTTAAATTTCTAATATTGTGTCTAGTTAAGACGAGTTATATTTTACTGTGACATCTCATTTATCCTTTTAATTGAATAATTAATCCTTGTAATTGAATATTTTCTGAGTTACTTGATATGAAAATTATTTTTTCTATAACAAAATTAGTCAGTGAGTCTAAAGTCCTGAAAGGAACAAGATACGCTGGTCTCTATACTCTGGCTCTGGATTTCTGCTCATTTACTTATTGTGTCACTGATTCATTCATTCATTCTAGGCTCCAAAACAAATAAAATATATTTGTTGCATACCTGACTAAGATAGCTCTTTTCCCTTGGTAATTTGCAGCTTCTGAAATATGCAGCCATATACTTTAGCATTGCATCTGAAGCAAGAATAAATAAGCCTTGGATTACATATAGGAAAAGTCTGTGAGCTTCTACCAGAAGACCTCTGGCTACACTGATCTTCTCCCTATCCCTCTCCCTTCCCATTGTTTTCTTATTTTTAGTAAATGTAGCTTTTGGAGAAGTGAGCTATTACCCTTGCTCTTCTATAAAGTCTTAGAATTTTAAAAAACGTTTTCTTTTGCTATTGGATTTATTATACTTTCAAGTTAGTAATTTGTTCCTAATACTGTTAGCCTGCCCTCCTTTTCTTTAATAATCCACATCTTAAAAATCAAGAGGATGGGGCTGGAGAGGTGGCTTAGAGGTTAAGAGCACTGACTGTTCTTCCAGAGGTCCTGAGTTCAATTCCCAGCAACCACATGGTGCCTCACAACCATCTGCAGTGAGCTCTGGTGCCCTCTTCTGGCATGTAGGCAGAACACTGCATACATAATAAATAAATAAATCTTTAAAAAAAATGTTTTAAAAAAAATCAAGAGGATGAAGTTCATATTTCAAACTTTATTCTTAGACTACTCTAGATTGCTTCAAGTATCCTTAAGTTTTCCCATTTAATTATTTGAAGTGCCCCCCCAACCACCAATGACTAAGCTAATCCTGAAGTAGAAACCACATTAAACATGTTTCATGGCTCACATGTAGTACCGTAGAGCAAGAATTTTGTTTTGTTTTTTTAATTTTCTTTTTTTGAGATGGTTTCTTGTGTAGCCAAACTACTGAATCCTATGCTCCATCTCCCAAGTACTGGGACTACAAATGTGTGCCACCATGCCTGGCTCACAAATTAACTTTTCCAGTGTTAATTTTATTTCCTTTTTATAAAGAATCTAATATAGTTGTTAAATAAAATGGGAACATACTTATATGTATTAATAGTGGCATATGTTGAAAAAGATGTTTATGAAATGTGAGACATTTATTTCAGGTAGTAGGGAGTTACAGCAATGTCTGTATTGGATGTCCTTTCAAGAGAATTTCATGATTAAGAACTTTTGGCATTTGGAAGCATACTTTAGTTTATAATTTAAATACCGAGTAACCAAATGAAAATACCCTGAATAGCTAAAAAGAGGTGTTTTTCTTTTGATTTATATTTCAGTTCTCCTGTTATTTCCTCCATTTCATTAAACCAGCTATGACTTCTGTAGTTTGATTATATTCAAGAAACCTGTTACTTTAGGCTTAGAATTTTTCAACCTTAGTTTGTTCACTATAAACCATAGACAATATTGACTATGTAGAGATTGAAAAAAATCAAATAATTAATTTTAAAGTCCACACTGATGTGATTATTCTAGTGTCTACCAAATGTAAGAAGTAGAAAAAATGACTTTCTGGGTTGTCAAGATGGCTTGGGTAAAGACACTTGCCATGCAACATGCAAGCCTGGCCACCTGAGTTCAATCCCTGGAATCTACATAAAGGTCATGGAGAGAAGTGACTCTCAAAGTTGTTCTCTGACCTACACACACACACACACACACACACACACACGAAGAAGAGAAGAGAGAGAGAGAGAGAGAGAGAGAGAGAGAGAGAGAGAGAGAGAGAGAGAGAAACTTTAAAGAGAAAAGGCTTTTAACCTTTCAACAGAAACCTACTTTTCAGTCTTAAAGTCCGAATCTAGCAATGGTGAGTGGCTGAGTGAGGTACTGACTCTTCAAGAAAGTCTGAGATCACAATTGTTAGTCCCTACACAGCCTACCTAGCATGTTTAGTAGTCCATTCTGAAACTGCTGTCCTCTCAAACTTACTACTCACACACTTGCCCTAAGAAGTGACACTACTCGCCTTTTGAAAATAAAAAATAAGTGCCCAGAGTGATTCAGAAATATCTTTTGTCTGTGCTACCTTCTAGTCCTTTTGCTGAAATACAGCTAAGCTAATTCATTGTTCACCTCCCATTTCTCTAGTAAAGCAGGGTTTTAAATTTCAGTGCTAGATTCACATGAATGTTCAATTCTTATTTTTCAAAATAGCAAGTTTGATGTAACTAAAATTTATCATTTGTTGTATTTAAAATTAAAAGCATTTATATGCACTTATTAGACGAGGACCTATTAAACTTGGAATGGCCAAAATTACTCAAGTGGACTTTCCCCCTCGAGAAATCGTCACATATACAAAGGAGACTCAGACCCCAGTTACAGCTCAACCCAAAGAAGGTGAGTGTCTGACCTTAATGTGACTGTTTAAGACTCTGTGTTAAGTGAGTAGATTTGTTTGTTTGTTTTTGGTTTGGGTTTTTTCTTGTTTTGTTTCAAAAAAACAGTTCTGGGTAGCTGTCCGTGGCTTTCCTCCAACTTACAGAGATCCGACTGCCTCTGCATTCCAAGTGCTGGGATTAAAGGCGTTCACCACTGCTGTCCAGCCTTTTCTTTTTCGTTTATGTTTTGCATTTAAGGGGTGAGGGAGTGTGGTATTTGCACACATGCATGCATGTGGAAGCCAGAGGAGGATGGGTGTCTTGCTGTATCACTCTGCTTCATTGAACCTGGAACTAAACTGGCAGCTAGCAAGCCCCAGCTATCCTCCTGTCTCTGTCCATCATAACACTGGAGTTAACAGGCACATACACCCTTGTGGTCCTACCTGACTTTTTTTTTTTTTTTTTTTTTTTTTTTTTTTTTTTGGGGTTCTGGGGGGAAATAGCGGATCCTGGGGGTTTGAACTTAGGTCTTCATACTTGCTTGCCACAGCAAGAACTCTTACACACTGAGCTATCTTCCTAGCCTTATTTTTGAAATTTTCTTAGAGAATCATGATAAAACTAATACTGCTTCACCGTTTGTATATTTATATATCTTTTTAAAATTACATTGTAATGAACGCACAGATTAAAAACATCACATAGCTAAATTAATGTAGCCACTCAAACATTTGCTGTGTTTCATTTATCTGTTTATTTAAGAATTTTAGAGGCTGAAGAGATGGCTCAGTAGTTGAGAGCACTGGCTGCTCTTCCAGAGAACCTGAGTTCAATTCTCAGCATCCACCTGGCAACTCAGCTGTCTGTAATTCCAGTTCCAGGGAACCCAACACCCTCACACAGACATTCAGGCAAAGCACAAATGCACATAAAATAAAAATAAATCATTAAAAAGTTTTTTTGTTTTTTGTTTTTTTAAGAATTTTGTGCTGGAAAGATGACTCAGAGGTTAAGAGCACTGCCTGCTCTTACAGAGGTACTGAGTTCAATTCCCAGCAACCACATGGTGGCTCACAACCATCTATAATGGGAACTGGTGTCCTCTTCTGGCCTGCAGACAGAACATTGTATACATAATGAATGAATGAATGAATAAATAAATAAATTTTAAAAAGGAGAGAATTTTAAGCTGGGTGGTGGAGGTACATGCCCTTAATCCCAGCACTCAGGAGGCAGAGGCAGGTGGATCTCTGTGAGTTCAAAACCAGCCTGGTCTACAAGAGCTAGTTCCAGGACTCCAGGACATCCTCCATAGCCACAGGGAAACTGTCTTGAAAAAAAACCAAAAAAAAAAAATTCTGAATGTAAGTCCATAATCTCCATCTAAAAATCTTTGGGGCAATATATATATATATGTATGTATGTATGTATGTATGTATGTATGTATGTATGTATGTATGTATTGCAATTTTGTAGCCATTCATCATTATGGACATTGATGTTTCAGAAATAAAAAGATATAAGCATACCAAATGAGATAAATAATAATTGCTTTTTTTATGATCATGTCAGGATTAGCCACTTAACTTAGTATTTTGGAGCGGTTGACAATTTGGTAATTTTGCATAAGACATTGTGGGCCCATTATAAACTACCCTTCTAAGAATAGGAAACATTTTTTCCTATTGAATTAATAGAAAATCAAGTGTGAAAATTTTACCTAATGTTTAGTTTATCTTTAAATTTTCAGTTAAAAATTTTCAGATAAGTTGAGAGCCCACAAGCTCTAGATAAAAACTTTTTATTTTGTTTTGTTTTTTCCTTCCATTTTGGAATTATGTAGGGTAAGAGGCTTTTAACATTATTATACTTCAGCTTTGCCAACTTTTCCATGAGCCTAGGAACTGTTTTTCATGCTATGGTGCTGTGTGTAGCATGTGATGGATGCTCACTTTAGGTATAACATTTCTGTATACCTAAAGAAATGTTAATCATCGTTGCCTGCTTAGGAGAACAAGTTTTACCTGGGATACTTAATTTTTTTGCTTTCATGATGGAAGCAACTTCTGAGAAATGTATTGTTTTCAAGTGTTAATTAGTTGTTGATGAAATTTGGATGAGAAGGTATGATTAGTCCAGTACTTGAGTATATCCTAATCACTATGTGTTCTTATGCTCAAAGTGAAACCATTGTAGAGTCTCCTGGATAGTCTTCTTAATGTCACTGTAGAGACATAAGCATGTGCTTACTTTGTGTTCTTTGTGGCCCTCTGAATCCTGAACTAAATTGAATCTGTCAGCATCTCTTAAGTATATTATTGAGGCTATTTGTTTATAATAGTTGTCAAAATGCTTAAATTTTGAGAATTTTTAAAATTCTGTTTAAACAGTGGCTGAAAATTCTAACTGAGTAGTGCTCACTATATATCAGACATTGTGTTTCTAAATCCTATCACCAAAACCTTGAAAGCTGGTTCCTAGAGAGATGGCTCAGTGTTTACAAGCATTTGCTGCTCTTCCAGATGACCCCAGTTACCATGTTGAATCATTTACAATATCTTGGAACTCTTCATCCAAGATATCTGATGCCCTCTTGTGGCTTCTGTGGGCACACACACAGGTGGTGCATATATGTAGTGCATGTGTGTATACATACACACACTTGGGCCTGCTCACACCCACATATAACAACCACAACTCCAAATGTTAAGCCTTGATTCTTTTATTTTTTTTCTTAAAGATTTATTTATGCGGGGCGTTGGTGGTGCACGCCTTTAATGGGGGCAGAGGCAGGCAGATCTCTGTGAGTTTTAGGCCAGCCTGATTTACAGAGCAAGTGCCAGGACAGGCTCCAAAGCTACACAGAGAAACCCTGTCTCAAAAAAAGTAAAAAAAAAAAAAAAAAAAAAATATTTATTGTATATTTCAGTGCTCTATCTGCATGTACACCTTTATTCCAGAAGAGGGCATCAGACTCCTTTATAATGGTTGTGCTAACCTGTGGTTGCTGGGAATTGAACTCAGGACCTCTGAAAAGCAACTAGTGCTCTTAGCCACTGAGCCATCTTTCCAGCCAAGCCTTAGTAACTACTATTCCAAACCATGTCTAACCAATTCTAAAATATGCATTGGCTTTCATGTTGCCACAAAACAGTAAACTTTGTGTTTTTATGATAGTAACCTATACTAAGTAATTTTAGTTTTATTACAGTCCTGTACAAACAGCTATAGATAGATAATGGATTTTTTTTAATACCATCTCTTTTCTCACTATATCTTCTTTTTAAAAAATACTGATTACAAGTGCCAAGTTTATTGGTTTAGAAGTGTAGTTTAGCAACACTTCATTCAAAAGGAAAGTGTGGTTCAGATAGCTCATTGGTGTGTCTGCATCAGAGTAGTATCATTTTAGTGATAACCTCCAGATAATGAGTAAGCACCGAAGCGCTTTCACTGATAATAAATAGAATTTTCTTCACTGATGGAAAAGAAGGGGGCAAGATGGGTGAATGAAGCCTATTCCTGAGGGTTCATCCATTTCACCATCCTTTAAAGTTTTCCTGTGTAGACTAGATTTAAAGGTTCATTTTATAAAATCCATGTCTGTTTATTTGCAGTCTAGCAAGTGTTCATTGAGTTTATTGAGTGTCTGCCATCTGTATATGAAGGCACTATATCACCTTCTCCTTGGTTTTGTGCTGTGGAGCTTGGAGTCTCCAAGTGAGGAAGAATGAGAAGTATATTCTCAAACCGTGAAGCCATTCATAACCTTTGCAACTGCTTACAAAGTTAGATAATTTGGTTTTTATGTCATTACAATTAATTTCACAACATTAAATTTCATTCCTATGTTAAAGAAGTTCTAGAGGCAAGAAAAAACATTAAATGAGATTTTTATAATGAAAAATGCTTTGTGTTTAACCACATTCATTGTTTTAATTCAGGCTCTTCACACTCAGCCCAGATGGTTACCATTTAACAATTATTTAAGGGACTGAGTGTTGTTTCCTGGTAGCATGTTTGCCTCACGTTTATGAAAAGCTGGGTTTAAGCCCCAGCACTGCATATTTTTTTAATTGCAGTTATTTGACGGAAAAAAAAGTTCGCCATGAAAAACAAATTTACTCTCACAACTGGAGTATAACAGTAAATTCAGAAGGCAGGCAGCATGATCAGTGCAGGCATAATGTGAGTGAGAACTGGTCTTAAGTCTTACCCATCTCCTCTTTACTCAGATGGCTAACCCTGCCCTTTTAAAGGCAGTTTATTTTCACTTTGTTTTTCTCTATTCTAGCTATCATCTTACTGTAAATTTATTCTGTGAATTAGTGGTACTGTTCCTAAATCAAGGTATGTGGCTGTCTTAAAGCACCTACTGTGAATGAAATTGACTAAGACCATGTGACCTCAGTCAATTCCCTTCTCTGCAGGCAGGCAACTTCCAGAAGGCAAGAGTGGTGCCCAAAGGTACACACTTACTTTCTGCCTTTTCCTTAAAAGTTTTAACTCTTGAAAATACATTTTTTTCTTATTCACCTCATCAGTGTGGATTTTTGTTTTTTTATTACAGAAAGGATTCAAGTATAAAGGCATCCAAAAAGGCCCATTAACCTACCCAGCTAGTTTATTTTTATCTTTGTAAGCTGAGATCTGAAAAGTTAGCTGATGAACCCAAGTCTGCAGTGAGGGAAACACTGGGGTTTATAAGCAGAGCAGCACTCTGCTTGTTTTCCGTGAGAAGCTATTTTCTCCCTCCATTACACTTTATATGTGGAGGGATTTCTGACCTATTGCTTCTTGATTTAATGAACCAGATATTAATGTTGATTGGCATTTATAATGTACAGAAGATTGTTAAAACAACTTGTAATCTTTTGTTGTATAATATAATTATGTAGAACCCATATTTCCCACTTGTAGACCAAATTTGTGGGCCTTTTAGTTAATAATTTAGTGTTAGCCTTATCTAAAATGGGGTTTTAAAAAGCTCCAAAAATAAATTAGGTATTTAATAGA